GACAATTGAATACTCGCTCTGTAATACTGAAATGTTTCTTGAATACTTCTATATAGTTATTGTGTACTCTAGTGATACATGTAAAATATTCATAAGCTTAAATTCTGTTCTGTATTGTCGTCTTACATCCATTTCATTTAGATATAAAATTAAATAACAAAAAATACAGACACACATACTGAAAATTTGATAAAACAATAAATATGAGAACTACAGCTATCACTTTATCTTTACACTTTTTTCAAAAAGAATAATAGTGTTAGAGAAGAAAGTGAAATATTTTTTTTTATTTGTACATAATAAAAATAAGATTTTATTTATTTGTTTCAAAGGTCAAGGAAAAGAATGAAATTTTAAAAGGCAAGAAAATTTATTTTTAAGAAAATATACAATGAAGAAGAAATTATATAGTTTTATGATCACTAACTTCGTATTATGAGCGATCATTTCTTTCTCCTGCAATTCCATATCTGTTGTATTATTTTAAAAATAAGTTTTCATGTTTTTTCTTCAACTTTATTCTCGTCTTTGATCTTTTAAAAATAAATGAAATCTTATTTTTATGATACTAAAATAAAAAATATTTAACTTTTTCTACTGATGATGAAGATTTCTTTATCTCTATCTCATGAAGTAAAGATACGCTAAAACACAGATTGAGCACAATTAAATATAGGAAAAGAAAAGAATTTAAAAAAATAAATTATTCTGTGAAACAGAAGTCCAATTACGAATAAACATGTAGCATTGATTACTAGACAAAAAAACATTTTTAAATTAATAACTATCTATGGTCTTTTAGTAATTTATGGAAAAAAAACATAAAATTATTTGTCTAGGGTATTATCCAGATATCTTTATGATTTTAAATTGCAATGGACTTGTAGAAAGAGTTTTTAGTTCCTTTTGTTTCATTGCATTTTATAATAAATCTCAAAACATCTACATTAATACAGAACTTTTTATATAAATTTAGAAAATAAAATTTGAATCAATGTCTATTAACATCTTTAAATAAATGTTCAATCTGATTCGTCAAGTTAACAGTTTAAAATGAAAAGTCATTTTTCTTTTTTTTCTTAAAGTCACCATTAAAGCAAAGTCGTATGATAAATGAGTCATCAGAAAAGAATAGAGGATAAACTAGAAGAATAAGTCGTCAAAATAGTTTCTTTCTATGGCCCTTGATATAATTTCATTGTTTTTTATTACATAACTTCAATCCATATCTTTATATACAAGTGCATAAATGTTTTGCTAAATATTCTGCGACAAAACGAATATGAGTAATACATTGAGTATTCACGCCATTGTGTATGAGTAGATCTATAGAGAAAAATTCAGGTAAGTAGTACTCGTCAGAGCACATGACAGGATTTTTACAGATTAGATTGCTCGAGTACTCGTGCGAGCAATTTGAATACTCATGCTAAAAAGTCATACTCACTTGATAAGTATTTTCATTAGCCATACACACCGACATCCTGAGTTGGTCACTCACTGAGATAGTAACTAGTCGATTTGATAATGCACTAATTAATTATAATAAAATTTCATATAGAGACGATTAAATTTGATGCAAACTTGTTTTCGGTTATGAATTTATTCGGCGAACATGAATTAATTCCATACAACAAATAAACATCAAATAAGATATTTAATTTATGATTTATTCTATAATTTATTGAATCTATTTCAAAACAAAAATATTAATGGAATATAATTAATATAGAGCTACAAGGTATGTATTATTCAATAGATTGGTATTATTTATTGCTACTATTGGATCCATACTGTACGAAATCATTTGAAAATGAATTTTTTTATTTTTGGAATCATGTTTAATGATATACTTTTCAAATTTACAAAGACGACGAAATAGATTAGAATAGATTTCATGTCCTAGATTTTGTTTTTTTGATTTATTCAATTGGACTTCAAATATATTTGTCCTTGTCATTTTGAACTGTCAATAGAAGAATTCGATTCAACTAATTAATAAATAAAAATCATGCACAATATATTGTGTAAGAAAAAAATCGAATTCAACTTGATTCATGAACTTGTTTGTTGACAGTTTTTCTTCGTTCTTGAAAAAACGATCGTATTTCACGTGAAGAGATAAAAACAAACACTTGACATTTATTATCTGTTCTTCTGACTCAAGTTATATTAATTAAATAGACTAACTAATTCTTGATCAATGAAGTCAATTTAATCTTATTCAACAATCATTCGACACTGTTAAAAAATGTTTTCTTTGTTTTTTATCTCAACAAACGATGTTTGCTTTCTTTATTTCAACAAGCAATATTTGCTTTTTTTGGTACACACTCAATTCAACATTGTTCTTTTTATCAAAATAACCTTCACTGATAAAAAAAACATCGTGATCATTTACATTGTTCGTTTTTGTAAAATAAAATTTTTTCTCACAAATAGGAATAATTTCAAGGTATTTTCTATTAGCTCTTTTTCAATTCACCAATAAAATTTCAGCATGTCACCTTCATGATGAATCAGCTGATTGTTTATATGAGTAACACAATATGAAACAATAGTTATCAGTATTTTCGATAGTATTTCAAGACAATAATAAAGGAATTTTCCTAGAAAATCTTTTCAATTATCTGATTCATTTAATGTGTAATAATAATATTCTTTCAACATTTTTTATTTATTTATTTATTTGCTTTGTCTTTTTACGTTCTTTTTTTTCCAACAAAAGGAAAGAGAAATAAGTTTTGAATGTCTAACATATTTGTAAGTTTAGGTTTTTTTAATTAAAATTACTTAATAAAACAAATTTATTTAGATTTTGAGAGTTCAATCATCCGAAGGTACAAAAAGAATTGATTGGACTACACAAGATACATATAAAAAATTATATGAAAAAGTAATGAAAAATATTTAATTATTTAAAATCAAAACTTTGTTTTATTTTTGTTTTTTTAGGTTGTCGATGTATTTTCATTATCATCATCAGATCATTTTGTTTTATATAGAGAACAAAATAAAAAATCACCAATACCTCGTTCACCAATAAAAACGAATTTCCGGTTTGTAAAAAACAAAATTTTAAACTATCTTCTTTTTTGTTTTATTTGATTATTTACAGACATGGTGATATAATTTATCTTGTTTCAGAACAGGATAATTTATTTTCAAAAGAAAATAGTTCTTCTTCATTAATTATCAAATCTGATAAACCAATAATTAAATCATCTTCACAATTAAATTTTCTTTCAAAATTACTTGACATTAAAGAAGATGATGTTGATTTACAATTAGAGAAAATCGATGGAAGAATACCTCGACAACAAGATCCACAATTGTATAAAAAAAAAATTTTTTTGTTTTTTCGATATAAAAATTAATTTAATTTTTCTTTAGATGTCGGCATAATCGACATGGAAAATGTTTGAATTGTATACCAATTGAACCATATGATGAGGAATATTTAAAAAATCATAATCCACCTATTAAACATATGTCTTTTCAAGCTTATATTAGAAAATTACAAAATGAAACATCCGGTGATAGGTATAAGTTATTATTAAATTTTACTTTGTACTATTTAGTTTTGTTTTTTTTTTGTTTACATAGAAATACATTTTCTAGTTTGGAAAATATTAGTTGTTCTATTAAAGATCAATGTTCAACAGGTCATGCTCCATGGCCGAAAGGTACAAGATTGATTTATATGAAACAAAATTTTAAAAAAAGACAACTTATATAGGAGTTTGCACAAAGTGTCAGCCAAATCCGATGACTCTTATGCTCCAGGTAGAGAAATTCTGAAGAAAAGATTTAAGTTTGATTCAACAGAATTTTCTATTTGTGATTTGTATAACGTCTAATAATCAAAATATTTTAGTACACTTTGCAGATCTATTTTTTTTTTGCATTTGATTTGAGCTTTAAAAACTAATCTAATCTCTATGATTTAATTGCGTATAATCAAGCATTTCAGCTTTTGATAATAATAAACATGAGGTATATTGATCAGTAGAAGAAACTCAAAACTGTCTTACAAACATAATTATATTATTTAAAAAATGATTTCATATGTTTGTTTATAAAATGTAAATTTTGTAAAATATACAAAAATAATTACTTCATGTTAAAAAAACTTATTCAATATTATAATATCAAATTTATGAAAGAAAACTGATCTGATTTTCTTTTCAGCCATATCGTCATGTAGATAATATAATGTTTGAAAATGGAAATATGGTAAATCGTTTTCTTAATTATTGGCGTTCAGCAGGTCATCAACGTATTGGTTTTCTCTATGGTCGATATGAAGTTTATGATGGTGTTCCACTTGGTGTTCGAGCTGTTGTTACTGCTATATACGAACCACCACAAGTTGAAAAAAAAAGATTTCTTTCTTTGCATTTAATTTGAAATATAAATCTTTCTTATAGGAAACATCAAAAGATAGTGTTGAATTAATTTTTCCTGATTTACACGAAGGAATTGTTGATGAATTAGCTGATTGTCTTGGTATTCGTCGTATTGGATGGATATTTACTGATCTTATACCGAATGATAAAAGATTGGGTACTGGACCTGTTGTTCATCATCGAGGAAATATGGTATGGAAAAAAAATAAAATAAAATATTTAAAAAAATTTTTTTTTTGTTTTTTAAATAATTTTTGTTTTTGATAGAATACATTATTTTTAACTGCACAAGAATGTATTATGGCTGGTTGGTTTCAAAATAAACATTTAAATAGATGTAAATATTCACCAGATGGTCATTTTGGTTCAAAATTTGTTACTGTTGTTGTTACTGGTGATGCATCTGGACAAATTCAATTTGAAGGTTATCAAGTATCAAATCAATGTATGGCTTTAGTTAAATCAGATATTTTACTTCCAACTTACGATGCACCTGAATTAGGTTATATCAAAGAAACAAGTTCCGAACAATATGTTCCTGATGTTTATTATAAAGTAATATGAAATACAAAAAAAAACAAACAAGTTATTGAAATTTATTTTTTGTTACTAAATAGGAAAAAGATTCTTATAATAATGAAATAATGAAAATAGCTCGTCCATTACCATTAGAATATTTAATTATTGATATTCCAACAGGTTTTCCAACAGCAAATGCACAAATACAATCAACATTTAATGATAATTGTTCAATCATAACAACACCATTTTGTGTTGAAAATCGAACAAAAATAAATGAATTACAAGTAAAATTATTTATTTTGAGTAAAATTTGATGAATAAATCTTTTCTATTCACAATAGGATATGGATACATTAGCATTATATGTACAACAGTTTGCAGAGATTGATGTTAAAAATTCAAAATCGAATCCATATAAAGCAACGGATATTTTAGCTGATCTTCATTTATTACTATATCTTGTAGTCAATGATATTTTCCAATTTTCTATGGTAAGATAAAAGAAAAAATTCAATTTCGTATATAAAATAGTTGATTAATTCATAATATTTGATCAAATAAAACTTAAACCTCTTTCTTAGATAAGGTCAATTTTCGTCAGAAAAATCGAAATTGAGATAAACGCATGAAAAGCTAATTCAATGTTTGATCTTTTATAAACGACATGATTTTCTATTTGGCATTACCCGTGTTGCCAAAAATATTGATCATTTCTGTTATTATCTGCTTGAAAAATACGTTGTTTTCAGAAAAAGTGAGAATTTATATTTTTCTAATAGCACATTCCAGAGCTCTCAAAGAAATTTTTATTGTGGTCAATTGCTTTTTATTTTATTTTAAAGAGTATGTGAGGCAACAGAGCCCACTTTTTTGACTTAAGCTTTTCTAATATTATATAAACAAACACATCTATAAATATTTGAGCATTTTTTTGAAAGTTTTTGGAGTTATTGAGTTTGATATCTTGTTTTTTCTCTGCATAAAAAGAATGAAATTTAAAAAAAAAGGTCTGTGCTCAGTATTGGAATCTGACATGCTCTGTTAAATAAAAAAAATTAAATCTATAGAATAAGAACCTACAGAGAATTTTAAGTTGCAAAATGAGCTATTTATGATCCTGGTTTGTTGAATATCTCCCGAAAACGTCATGGTACAGGACTGAAAATTTTAGCATAGCTTCTTCACTAAAGTTCGAAGGAGAAACGACAGAGACTTCAGTCTTACGAAGTCTTTAAGTTATAGCTTTTAGGAAGCACAATATAAAAAGGGGTTTGGAAGTGTACAGTACAAATTGGGATTCCCTATTCCATTTCTTCACAGACGTGACAGACGCTAGTCAGAGACCACCACAGACTATATATCATTAACGTCTCATTATAATATATGGACTACTTCCTTGTTGCATCTCTGAGGGACTAATGAGAAGAGATTCCTAAGTGTCACATCGTTTTTGAGTCGAGAGTATTAGAATAAGATAGACCCCAGTGAGATTTGAAAAACCCAAAAATGATAAGTGTCCTTAGACCTTCTGTCCAGAGTTATAGGTATTTTACTGAAATTTTAGCCTCTGGCACAGTAAATACCAACAAAATCGAATAGCAGTATTTCGACCTGAGATTTTGCCCATGGACAGATCTAGTTTTGAGTGGGATACTCTGAAAATTTCAGCTTAAAAGAATGTTTCCTTTTCGAGATATTAAGCCCCAAGAATCACTCATATACCACGGAAGTTGCTAGAATTTTCTATTTTTTTGGGGCTTTTATATCTCGGGAAGGAAACATTCTTTTAAGCTGACATTTTCAGGGTATCCTACTCACAACTAGACCTGTCCATGGTCAAAATCTCAGGTCGAAATACTGCCATTCGATTTTGTTAGTATTTACTGTGCCAGAGGCTAAAATTTCAGTAAAATGCCTATAACTCAGGACAGAAGGCCTAAGGACACTTATCCTTTTGGAATTTTTCATATCTCACTAGGGTCTATCTTATTCTAATACTCTCCACTCAAAAGCAATGTGACACTTGGAAATCTTTCCTCGTGAATCCGTCCTGGTCTAAATTCCTGGCGCTGCCACTACAGCAGGAATTATGCTAACGGCTTTCAATATATGTTGAAGTCTTGAAGTCTGCTCTGTCTCTCTCACTATAACTCCAACTTATCGTGAAAATTTCATGCAATTTGAGTGTACCTATCTCAAGATCGATTTTTGAAGGGGCGGGGATTAATTTTTTTTGTTGAAAAAATAATTGATGTTTTAACGAATGAGATATGTTGATTATATTTATTGATACATAATTTAGCATACAATATGATGTGATTGTTCTTTTAGAAGAGAAAACTTAGATAAAATACTGGTTTTTATGTTCTCTAAAACGATAAAACTTTTTAGGATCAACTTAATCCATTACTTAATTCATTACGTACTAATGACTTAAAAGGAGTTGAAACATGGATGGAAGGTGATCATTGGCAAACATTGCTTCAACTTCTTCAAATAGAACGTTAGTAGAATTTTTCATAATTAGAAAAAAAAATCAATATTTCATAAAAAACCAAATTTTAGTTCCAAGTTTATCATCATCAGTTAATCAATTAACACACACGGATTCCGAAGAACAATCATCACAATGGACTTGTTCACAATGTACTTTTCTCAATAATAATTCCAATCAAAAATGTGATATGTGTTCTTTAGAAAACAATACGTCCTCTTAATTTTATATTAAATTTTTATTTTGTCATATTTTGAGTTTATTTGAAATATTAAAATCAAGAAAACAATATTAAAATTATAGTTTCTATTTTAGATTAATTTTTTCCTATTAAATAATGAATATTCTAAGCAGCCGATCTAGTGTTGGTAGTGCCAGTAGCGGTGATGTCTCGTCAGACAGCAGTATTCCTTCACAATATAAAGTACTTACATTAACATTTAATCAAGATTGCACGTAAGATTTTTTACTATTTATCAACAAAAAAAACAAAAAGATACGATAATATACGAATTTTATTTTATAGATCATTGGCAATGGGTACACCAAACAGTTATTCTTTATTTACTATTGGCCAAGAAAATAAAATTGATGAAATTCATGATTGTGGTGAGCATGATTAAAATGAATCGATAAATATAATTGATTACGTTAGATATTGCTGGTTGTTCAAAATATAGTGATGAAATGAAAAGCAGAATACTTGAGCAAAATAGTTGATCATCAAATTTTTCAGTTTGATTCTCGTCAATCATTCTTTCAATTATCATAGGTTTAATTTTAAAATAAAATGTCAATTGAATTATAGGTTAAAGGAAAAAATCAATACTGGTGTTATTTATGAATTCTGATTAAGAATACTATATAACACTTAGGAACAGATCCAATTAAAACAAAATACGAGCATCCAAAACTTACGAAGGTTGTTCCGCAATGGATTAATTAGTTTATGAGTCAAGACTATGTACATTATGTAGATCATAGCGATCTATGAACTCATTAGGATCTACACGATGTACATAGTGCCGACTTAAAAGCGATGAATCGGTTGGGAAACATTTTTCATGAGTATATCTGAAGTAGAAATAAACTGATTTCTGCTAGTTCGAATTAGCTTGAAATACTTTTAATTATCGTGAGAAATCGTATATTATAATATGGTTTCCTGTAGTAATTGTTAGTGAAGTATATTCTGATTCTTCAGTTAAAAATAGATTTGTTTATTTACAAGCATAGAATAACACTTCAGAAATTATAATAAAACTGTGATTATGATCTCTCATTCACCTTCCTCTACTTTTTCGTGATTAATAAAAAGCAATCAAGAAAATGATTTTTTTAAATAGGAAATCAGTTTTTTTTTCTTTTTTTGATAGATCTTAATATACTATTCTTAATTATCATCTGAAGATATTAAAATCACTAATGTATGCTTTGTCAAATCTATGATCATTTGTAATCATGCATAAAAATTTACGAAAATATTTGCATATTCCACGCTCGTTAGTCGCTTGACTGTCGTTAAAAATCTATATATGAGTTTCTCAAAATCTAATATTTTGAATTTATTTAGAAATCCAACCTCTTATATATATCCCATATCTTCGTAAGGAAAAGAAAACTTATTTCAATATGTGAATGAAAAATATTTACATAGTTTTTGTTTTTTTTTTTGTTTCTTTAATAGCTTATGATTCAGTTTACATTATTGAACGATTATTTTCAAGTTCATTAATTGCACTTGTTAGTAATCAAGCACCACGTAAATTAAAAGTATGTCATTTCAAGAAAGGCACAGAAATATTATCATATTCATTTGCAAATACAATTCTTGCTGTTAAACTTAATCGTTCGGTAAATGAATAGAATTCTATTTTTAAAAAAAAAACAGAAGAAAAAAAAATTTCTCTTTTTTTAGAGACTTATCGTCTGTTTGGAAGAAAGTATTTATATTCATAATATGCGTGATATGAAAGTATTACATTCAATTCGTGATATACCATCAAATCGTGATGGTCTTTGTACATTATCATCAAATGATGAAAATCCTTATTTAGCTTATCCAGGAAGTACAATAACGGGTGAAGTACAAATATTTGATACAATTAATTTGGTTAGTAGAAGATGTTGTTTTCAATTTAAACATATTAATTTCTCTTATTTTATATAGAAACCTTGTCTTATGATAAGTGCTCATGAAAGTACACTTGCTGCAATGGCATTTGATATGACGGGTACTAGAATAGCAACAGCATCAAATAAAGTATATTGTAGAAAATATAAATACGAAGTTTTAATTGGTATATTTTCTTTTTCAAGGGAACGGTTATTCGTATTCATAGTGCAGTTGATGGTTCACGTTTATTTGAATTTCGTCGTGGAGTTCGACGGTATGTTTAAATAACTTGTTTATTTTCATTCATTTATATATATTTATAATATTTTTAGAGCTGCAACTATTTATTCATTATCATTTAGTCCTGATTCAATGTTTTTAGCAGCATCAAGTAATACAGAAACAATACATATATTTCGATTAATTAATCAAAAAGAAAAGTATAGTTATTATTTGTATAGATTAATTTTATTTGAATGAATTTTTTTAGACCTTCAGAAGAAACAAGTTCATGGATGGGATCATTTAGTCGTCTATTAGGTGATGTTGCACATTATTTACCTAAACAAACGTCAGAAGTATTAACACAAGATCGTGCATTTGCAACTGTACATTTACAATCAGCAGGAATGAAAACAGCAATTGCTATGAATGTGTAAATAATATGAGAAATTGCTTTTCTTATTTTTAATATTATTCTTTTGGTTTTTTAGCTTTGATAGAACATTGAAATTATTTGTTGCTGGCTATGATGGTGTTGTTTATATTTATGAAGTAAATAAAAATGAAGGTGGAGAATGTAAACAAATTAGTCAATATCTTTTATTTAATATTTCACAAAATTCAAATAATCAACAAACAATAATAGCAAATGACCGACGAAGTTCACTTGGTAAGTTCTTTAATAAATATCATTTGGAGTTTATTGTTTTTTTTCTTTTCGATTAGATGGATCAAGACAAATTTATTCATCAAATTTATCAAGAAAGGAAAGTAATGCAGTTCCACTTTCATCTAAACTTACCAATGAAAAACAAGCTGATGATCAATTATATAATACTGCATTGCAAGAACAAAATTTTCCTGAACTACCATCACCACCACCAGGTGATGGTGAATAATACACATCTGAGAGTGCTGTATATGATAATAGTGAGTGTGTGTAACTTTTGTATTTCTTCTTTTGTTTTGTATGAAAAAACAAAACAAAACTTGCTGACAAGATAAAAGTCAAATGTCTTTCTGTTACTAGGATGGATCAATTTATTTTCCGATTAAATTTATTCTGTGTGGAAGTTATTTATTTTCTTTTATAAGAAATAAAAATCTTAAAAAGAAAGTTTTGCGCGTTTTTTTTTTACCAAATAAAGAACTATTTTTTAAATGAAATATAATGTATTTATATAGAATAATTGAAATATATAAAAGCAATTCTAAAGTAGCATATTTTGTTTATCGAGAAAGTAAGTACTTGCTTCTCAAGAGACTAGTGTGGTGCGGTTGTATGTGTGTTGAAAATATAGATATATACTCACGTTGTTTTTTTTTTTATAAATTCTTCAGCATTATTTGATAGGTCTTAATGAGAAATATCGATTGGTATACAATATAGAGTGAATCTATGCGTTTCACTCAATTAAAATTCCTATTCCATCGCTTAAACATATACATAGTGATACTCAATATAAAGCTGTTTTGAATATTTAACATAAAGACATACTCTCTCATTCCTTTTTCGTGGGTTTCTTAGCATCATTTGATAGATCTCGTCAAGGTCTACCGATTGACATGAAATCCAAAATGGACTGCTACCATTACAGAAGCACACGAAGTGATATTCATCATTGGAGTTCATTCATAATATGCAACATGAATCATGTCCTTGTATAAAGAAAGGTAAGAAATCATCTTTTCTCACATGTTCATGCACCATTCAATAGAGAACTGAAATAAATTAATTTTTCATATAGATTTTGACTACAGGCAATTTTGACTACAGACAGGTCTCATGGCCTTTAGAATGTCCTAAAAAATTCAGCCCAAAAGTATGTTCTCTTCTTGAGATATTGGTATCCAAGAAACGATCATGTGCCGCAAGAAAATATTAGAAACACGAGTATTTTCAACATTCAATATCTCAAGAAGAGAATATTCTTTTAAGCTGAATTTTTAAGAGCATTCTAAGAACCATGAGGCCTATCTGTGGAGAAAATGTCAGATCAAAATCCTGTAATTCAATAATTCCCATATATACTTTGCCAGTGGTCGAAAATCCAGTACAACGATCATAACTCGAGAAGGACAGCCTATGGGAATGAACCCTTTAGGCTTCGTCTAGTTTCATCGAGCTCTACAAACTAGTATAGATTCGATTCAAAACAGCGCGTCACACTTGGGGACCTTCTCTCCTCAGTAACTTCTACGTGAGTTAATGAAAATTTCCTTCTATCGAGACTTAGTCGAGTTTTATATAGTATTCAACGAAATGCGACGATATGAATCAGCAGTTATGACTCATCTTATGTATGGCGCAAGTTTTGCATCCTAGTTTTTCATGGTTACCATGCTTTGCGGTGTGTATACACTATTTTTCATCGAAATTACCTATTACCATTGATGTTGCAATCAATCAAGGGAAAAAGAATTAAATTTTGATTGAGAAACAGACAACAAAGACTTCAACCGTGAAGTCTCATGAAGGCTGTAGAAGTCCCATGAAGTCTTTTGAAGTCTTTGAGCTACAGCTTTTAATATAATATCTAGTGAAAAAGTGTTGGGATAAATGTCGACTCCTATGTCTCTTCAATAGAAGAGTGCTGAAAGAAAATTTATTTTACCAGAAGATAGACTTTTTTCTCTTTCAAATCATATATAATTTATGTTTATCGCTTGTTCATAAACGAAACATTGTCAAAACAAAGAAAAGCATCCTCAAAAAGTAATCCGTACTCTTCCTATACATTACAGTACAACATATGAATCCTTATCTCTGTTCGATAAACACGTTCTGAAAGGAATATTTTTCCATCAGTCGATAAGAAGCTTTCTTCTTTTTCGAACAGTATATGATTTATATTTGTCATACATTCGTAAATTAAATGAGGCGAGAAGAAAGAGAAGCACTCGCGCAATCAATTTACGATTTTTATATAAAATCGTCAAAAAAATAGTATACAACAGCAGTTGATGCTGATTAAATGTCATGTTACACTGTTTTTGACAAGTTCGTATAAAAATCATGAATTTACTGCACGAATGTTTTTCTTTTTTCCAGTCTCATTTGATTTACGAATGTATGACAAATATAAATAATATAATGTTCGAAAGAAGAAAAAATTTTCTATCGATTGGTAGAAAAAATATTCCTTTCAGGACGTGTTTATCAAAAACATATAAGTATCAACATTTCGTCTCATTTTGTTATATCACAGAAAAAGTGCGGATTGTTTTAAGGGTGCTTGTTTTTCTACTAATGTAATTTAATTCACATGAAATCATCTAAAGTCCTATACAATCCCTTGAGATCTTTTGAAGTCTTAAAGTCTGCTGTTTCTTCCTCGAGTTCTCTATCATCATTTTCTCCCTTTCTCATTTCAAAATTTTTAAGATTAAGAAAATTTTTCAAATGATTTATTGAAAAACTTCAGCTGCCGTTGCTGATAAATGCATTAGCAGCTTACATGTCTGATCAAAACTTATGGAATTATAAAACAATTTCTATATATCATTTTGAAGATCAATCTAATGAGTTAAAGTATATGATCAAAACTGTATAGAATAGTACAAGCTTACAAAATGATTACATGAAAAGAATTTGTGTGAGGTTGACAGGTTGATGACCTTATCTGACGGAATACTTTATTCTATGATCTCCATCCCTCTTAGAAAGAAAATTATTATTCAAATGAAATACAATCCATTACATAGATCAGCTGAATTATCTAAAAGCAAATATGGAGTGTCATATTTTGCCTGTCGACAAAATAAATATTCTCTTCTCAAGGAATCTGTATGTATGCATATATTTCTTCAATTACGAGATATTCAATAGTTTTATATAGAAATAAGAATGCATTTGATTATTGCAATCAGACAACCTATTCAAGCTAGTCGCTCTTACTCGTTAAAAAATATTAATTTTTAAGAAGTTTTATTTGCATGATAAATTTCCTCATTAGATTAATACACATAGATTTTAAGCAAACATTTGAATCATGTCATTTTATAAGTTAGAAACGCTGAAATCAAATTCTTTTAAAATACCATTAAGAATTTCAAAATAACAACAAAATATAAATGAAAAAAAAATTAACATTGGTTCGTTATAAATTATTAGTTAATTAAAAAAACAAAATTTCAGCACACAAATACTTATCGTTTGAGTTATTTCATCAGATATTTATATTAGCTTAAAGGAATAAAAAAAAAAGATTAATATTTTTTTTCTTAATCTATTTTATGCGTTGAGTAGGAAGAAGAGACCATTAAGTAAATTAAAAAAGAAATGAATGAAATATTCTTTAATGATAAAATTACATAAATATATCTTTAGGTAAATCATCACCGGTTTCAAATGTTGCCCATTTCGTTCGAGGTATATCTTTGAATATAGTTTCAAGTCTTTGTTGTCCATCATTATCATTTTTATATTTTCGAATAAAAATTCGTGCTATTCGATTAGGATATTGAGCATAAATACTTGCATAAATATCTGGATCTTTTTGAAATATATCACCAATTAAAATAAATAAACGATGTTTTGTATTTTGTAAAAACATAAGTAAGGTTTCAGTTTTTTTCTTTATATAATTTGATGACATAAAAAAAGTTATAAAATTTACATCTAGCCATGTAAAATGACGCATATGTGCAGAACCTGATGGGAAATGTTCACGATCAAAAAATTCTTTTAAAAATGGATAAAGTTGATCTGGTGATGCTGTTAAATAAGCAAATGTTGCATTATATTTTCTTTCCCAATATCGATATATATCTGCCATACCCGAAACAGGTTTAAATTCTCCACTAAATGTATTAATTAATGTTTGTATAGATGATGTTACTTGTGTTATTTTAATTGTATCATCAATATCACTAATAAATGTTATTCCATGATCATCACATAAATAAATTTCACCAGTAGCATAAAGATTTCTATTTGGTACTGATACTTGAAAAAGTACTTTACCACCATTACCGCCTGGTTGACGGAATAATTCAATTTCTTGATTAGTCATTATAAAAGTGTTTTTAATACGACCAACATCATCAGTTCGAGCACACATTTCTCGATTAAGTCCATCAATACATACATCTTGTCTTTTTTTACCTTCAGCAGTAAACATTTTAATACGATTCCGATCTAAATCTTTTTGAACAATAAGTTCTAATGTTTTTTCCATTAATAATGTTTGAACAGGATTTTCTTCGTAGTACCATCCTTGATTATACAAAATCCAATCAGATGACAATGAATTCGATGTTGATGAATGGTCTCGAAATGCTACTGATGGTACAAGAAAAAGTCCTTGTTTAGCAAATAGAAATCCATCGATCATTTTTGAAATAGTAACAAAAATCAAAAGGACAAAAAGTATGTCTCTCATGATTGATAATAACTGTGAGATGAATTGGACTGCTATACCATTACCTACGTACCTTATAATCAAAGATACGCGTTAATCTGTATTATCGATAGAATGAAATAACCATAGCGGCATGAGACTGTTTGAAAAGTAAATGTCATTAGCAAATATTTACTATTGTTGATAAAGTCCACCATATTACCTATAGGGTATATTGTATTATGTAAAATCGGTTACCGAAGGAATAATCACAAAATTTACATATGTAACTAAACGATAGCCTATCAATAAAATTCATTGTTGAACATTCATGAATGTATTATTAGTTATCAAAATATTTTCAAAAAAAATTTGATTTTACATTGATATCTTTTAATTTAATTAACGGAGATTGTTTATCTCCATATTATGATCCTCAATTTTGATATTCTAACATATTTGTAATGTCATCCTAGATTGAAATATTTTTCGTTTGAAATTATCATTAAATAAGACTTTTTATTTTGCCAATAAATAAATTCTTTTATTGACAATGCTTTCATCAGTATAATCATGTTTAAAAATGGCATAGTCAGTTATTTATGATTATAGTGATTTTGACAGATTGAAAACAAATGCCAACATGTTTTCAAATATTCCGGTTTTTTTTACGATCGAACTTATTTTGATTATCAATATAGAATTGTGTTTTTTTTCCGTAATGATTTAAATCAAATAATCAAGTTATTGTTTTGATAATCCTAAGAAAAAATAAATCAATTAAGTCGTAATTATATTTGTTTGTGACAAGGATTAGTAACCTCAGGGAAATAGAATACACATTCGTTCATTCGTTCGATCACATAAGCGGAAATTGTCTGCTTCAGGAAATGCAGTTTGGATGAAGAATCACTCGACTTGTTAAGTACCAATAATAGATGAAGTTGTATGCATGCATTGGTTTTAACTATTGAATTTTATTATATATATGCTTCTTATTATATCTCCCTTTCGTATCGAATGAGAACTAATATAAGTCATACAAAATCTCCCACTTCACCATTATATTCATGTGATATGATTCCTTTTTTTTGTGATCACTCAGTCTATATTAGATGAATGAAAGCAATTAGCAATGGATCTTTACCATCTACACTGCTGCCATTGATCGATCGATCGAAATGTTCGACCGGTATTTAGTGTTGCTACACAAAGCAAATGAGAGAAAAACAGCAAAATCAATAAAAATTTTATCATAAATACACTTTGCTTTTGATTACTCACAAATATCATTAAATATCTTATTGATATTCAATTATCGAAATATCGACATTGACATTTATTCTAAAACATAGTACAATAAAATAAGCTATGTTACCCTTTGTTTTTATATTAAAAAGTTAAATCAACCAATACAGATCATTTTCACACTCAATAAAAACAATGTTAAAAAACGTATTAGAGCATGCAGTTTTTCATTTCGAGTTATTGGATAGTTTCTTAGATTATACGTAAGAAGTACATATTCAGCCTTAATTTTGATATATGCACTGAGTTAGAAATGCAATCCTTTTTTTTTTTGTCTTTAATCATGTCTTTATTTCAAGGAATACTGCATGAAAGACAACCACCAACCGACATCTTGCAATGTCAGAGTAAGAGAGAGAGAGAGAGAAGGAAGAAGAAGAAGAAACTAGAAACTTTATTCATTTATTCTCTTTTTTTTTGTGTGAGCACTCATTTTGCACCACCGCTACTATGATGCTTTTCTCGCTCAGTCGAAGTGCGCCTTCTCTCATATATCTCTCGATTGTTTCCTCTACGCTAACGAATAGTGAATAAAAAAAAAAAGAAAAATGCTTTGGACGTCAATGCAACACATTACATATCAGTATTACCATTATATGATCATATTGAGTCTAAAGAATGGAGTTATATATTAACATTTGAATAAAGAAAAATAAATGGAAAAAGATCATTCTTCTTGTTAGATTTTTTTACTCTTTTCTCATCAACAAATACAAGTATCATCTCGTAATTAATCGATTTGTAAATATATATTTTGCATGCTTTTCTTTTACATATTTTATTGTGTCAATTGTTCTGTAATTAGAATGTAATAGTGTTTTAGATAACCCACATCGATATTTAATTATAAGCGAAGACAAAAAAATTTGATGACTATTATTTATATTCCAATGTTTATAATAATCACTAAGGACAGACGCACTGATGTGCATTGAATACTTGATATAATAGTACAGCTATACATACAAAAAAAAATCAGTTTTTCTATAGTTGCTTTTTTTGCCTTTTCTTTCCTGAATGCGTGGAGTATAATAAGCGTTTTTAAAAAAGTTTTTGCACACACCGATAGCAAATTACTCGTGTTGTTATTGCTACTGCTCCCGTTTCTCTTGCTGTTACTGTCTAATGACAGCTAGAAGAATACACTTTTTTTTTCTTCTTTTTCTTCTCTACTTCACTTCATCATGCGTTTGCGTTACTACATCCCTCCATGCGTATAGAAAGTAAATAAGCGAGAGTAGAGCGATGGTGAATAGGAGAAACTCGTACCACATGCGCTGTTCGTTATTGTTAGAGTGTGTGTGCTGTCGAGAAAGAGAAGAAAAAAAAAAGAGAGAAAAGATTATGTTGGCATGTATGCTAGTTTCATCTATAATTCATGCTTAATTATTCACTTCTCGCGCACACGTAGTCTCTAACAGTACTATTGTTCAGAAGATGACTACCACTATTGTGATCGCTAGTACATTGTAGCATGTCAACTTATTCAATAAACCTTTCGTTTTCATTTCTATTCACAAGTTTGTAATTAATTTTCAATATGATAAGAAAATTTCCTCTACATCCTGTTTTGTTTAATACCCGAAGTATTCTTAGTAGTAGAACTGTAATCAATCAAATTCTAATTACTTATATTAATTTAGATATTTATAATAGAATATGAAAGAACAATAGTTGCTATATTTATGTGCATCCATAGTTCATAGTTGTCTTCATTTTTGAATAATTATGAGTATGAGAAGCAAAACATAGAACAGATTCTAAAGAATATAAAAATTTTTCCTCAAATAATTAAAGTTAGTAAATTTTAAAAGTCCATTGATGTAATGATTTAAAAATAAAATATTCAATTATGTACATATATTTTTTATAATTCATCGGTTGTTATTTACTGGTAAAGGCGTCGAAAATTAATAATAAGTTTTTAAAAATTGGATTTGTTTTCTTTATTCAGAATAAGATATTTTTAAATATGCAAACTATTACGAGTATTGTTCGTCTTCAATCACTGCAATTAATACGATAAAATCTTATATAATGATCCTTCCGTTTGCCGATGAATCTCACTTCCCGATAGACCTTTTGAAATAACGAAAGAGAGAGATGAGTAAAACGGAAAAGGCTTACTCATATATATTTACGCAAAGGCACAGGTGCAAAAAAAAAAAAGAAAAAAAAAGCGAGGAGCCTTGGTTGTCATTATCGACCATGATAAGAGGGTAAAAGTGTGAAATGTAGCATCCAATGTCGACCAAACTCCATAGCCACTCTCACATCGCTGACTAGTAGCTTGTCTCTTTGAATCATTATGCGTTCTGCGTGATTTCACTATATTAAAATTGTTTCTACTTTTATTACTGTAGAGCAAATAGGAGTAGAATAAGAAACATGATACTAAAAAAACTCTGAAAAGAAAAAGGAAAGAAGATTGTTCATGGCTAATCATGCCTGAACACGAAAGCTATTCTAGATGGAAGAAGCCTGGTTTCCAACATAACATTGTTTTTTTATAGTAATCACCTCCGATTTAGAGAAAAAAAAAAGAATGAGAGAAAGCAGAAAAGAAAAGAATACGCTGGTATTATGATTCGTATTTTTTTTTCCTCTAGAGTGAATACAAATTTTGACAGAATAGAAGAAGAGAAAGAGAACGAGAAAGAGAGAGAAAAAGAGCAGCCTAACGACCTTGGTGTGGTTTTAGTATGTCCTCTCTGCATAACTGGCATGTGAATATTGCACACAAGTGAATTTACACCCATAAATACACATTCAAACAAAATGTCGGACGAATTTAGTAATCTTACTACTGTTAGTTGTCAAAAATTTAAATGCTCGGCTCGTGGTCTTATATTACCATTTGGTAAACATTTTCTTGATTTAATTTAAATGTATATATCATTACTATTTTTTCTAAATAATTATCAGGTATTGAAGCATGCATGTCAATACAATTACGAGCAGTATTATACTTTATTTTTTTACTTTATCTTTTTCTTGGTATTGCTATTATTGCCGATATATTTATGTCTTCAATTGAAACTATAACATCAAGAAGACGAAAAATACGTTATCCTGACCCAGGAGAAAATGATAAATATTTAACTGTTGAAGTTCGAATATGGAATGATACAGTTGCAAATTTAACATTAATGGCACTTGGTTCAAGTTCACCTGAAATTCTTTTATCAATTATTGAAATAATTGGTAATCGTTTTGAAGCTGGAGAACTTGGTCCTGGAACTAGTAAGAATCTATTTATATTTTGTACTTCAAAAATCAATAAGAACTATAGAAAATGTCCTGTGAATCAAAATAAGATCATATCTTGTTTTCTTTTTTCTCGAAAAATAATGTCAAAAAATATATTTATATTTTTCTTGGCATGGATTAATACATAATAATGTCATGATATTTTAATTTGCTCTTTGATTATCTTCTTCAAAACACATGTTTTCCTAGGGAAACTATTCATATGAATTTTGAAAAAGTCATCTGGAAAAAAAATAAAGATCAGAAATCTTTGATTAGATAATAATTTATTATTTTAGTTGTTGGTTCAGCCGCTTATAATTTATTAATGATCTGTGCATTATGTATTTCGGCAATTAAGGCTCCTGATGCCAGAAGAATAAAATTGTATAGTGTTTTTATGGTAATTTATTTTTGAAAAGATTTTGAAATAGAAC